CCCCCGGGCCCGCGGGGGCGGGGGGGGGGCCCCCGGGGGGGGGGGGAAGCCCGCCCCGCCCCGCCGCCCTTTGTGCCCTCCGGCGGGGTGAGGTGGCGGCCGGCGGCGCCGCCTGGCGCAGGGTTTTTCGGGCTGGAGGAGCTGCCGGAGCTGGGCGAGAGCCCCCTCCCCTCGGGGGGGAGGAGGGGACGCGGAGCCGCCGCCGAGGCCCCGCTCCCCCTTCTCGGGAGTGACGGGGGTCGCGGCGGGAGCTGACGCGGGTGTTTCCCTGGGAGGCGGCTGCTTTGCGGGAGGGGTTCAGCCTTGTGTGCCGCTTCGCTGGCGCGAAACTTTAGTACCTGCCTGCTTTAAAATGGTATTCAGCGTTACAACTGGATGGGTAGGTTTGTTTTTTTTCGGCAAGACGTGTTTGCCCTCCTTTTAAAGGTAAAAGCAGTGCTTGAATTTAAGTGACTACGGCGTTGTTAAAAGTAGCATAAATTAAAATCTCCCTAGTCAGCATAACGCTTGTCCTTGCCTCATTTAAAGTGTAATGCACTATGCATTTTTTTTTTTTAATAAACTTTGGTAATCGCGTATATTTGATTTTTGGTATGTTTGTCACTGAGAGTTCAGTGGTGTTTAACCTACCTGCCTTGCTGTAAATACACAGATGATGGACAGGTATGAAAGAATATTCTTCAGAGTTTGGCTTTGTTTGAGACAACAGTGCCTGTAAGTTGCTGCTGTAAAATGGGTCTTCTGTATTTTATTTAGGAAAAATGTAATTTTAAAATAAGGGTTTTTTTCTTTACAGGACTCTCCGATACGTTCCCGAAAGCTCCCAAGACAAAATTATCTCTGATGAAGATGTCTTTGAAACGCTACTGAAAGTATTTAAAGCTCTGTTCATAAATGACTTCAGTAGACACACACATATTTTGGCCTTACTTCCAGAAATCAAATGTAAATATCTGGAATTACTGACTGTTGAGCAGAAGCGATCAAAAGTAAATTCATGTAACCATCAGAGTCAACATGTGTTTAGTCCAGAGGAAGTTCTGTTGAATACACTAGGGTTTGCTATTAGTCGAGACCGAAGTTCCCTGGTGTCTGCTGGAACTGGAGTCTTTGTTACCAAAGGCTTTGTACCGAAAGGGACAGTTGTATCTATGTATCCTGGTAATGGAATGTTCTTTTATCTGATTAAGTTAGATGGGATTTCTAACCATCTAATTATAGAATACTGAAGTTCTACACTAATTTTTATTTTACGGGTTTTATTTCTGTCATTCCTTAACAAAATTGCAAGTTACGGTGAATGAGAATATATCTGTATAACCTGACTAGAGTTCTTTTGGAAATAAGCAAAGCAATATTGGGGGGGGGGGGGGGGGTGTTTTTTTTATAAAAAAAAACTTTCAGTACTCAAAATCTGATTTTTTTTCAGCTGCTGGAAAAGTTGTTCCAGATTCTTTAAACACAAATGTATGGGAGCAATTTCAAGTAGATGAACAATACAGTTTAATTCTTCGGGTTTTCTGTTTTGGATAAGGATCTGAAAAAGGAGGTTTTGAGATTTCCACACAGATCAGCATACAAGACTATGAACTTTTTCAAAGCACAAAAATACAAATTGGAGAATGAAAGTAAAACCTTTTAGTGGAACTCTCTTCCATAGAAGCATGCTTGGCAAATCAGCACTTCTCTGTTCCTCATTTCTTGGAACTGTATTTGCTTACATTTCTTAAAAAGATTTGTAATTCTGTCAGTATGGCCAACCTAGGACAGCTCTGCTGAAGTGCTTTGGATTTGTTTCTGTTTCGTCTGTCAACAGAATCATTCCCTGCATGCAGTCTCTAGCTTCTGCCAGCACTGCAGGATCAGGACCAGTCCAAGCATTGGGCAGCAGAGTGTGTTTTGCCATGCCAAAGCAGGAGTGCCTGGCGACTGCCATTGACTGGTAAACTGACTAACAGTCAAATGACAATCACAGGGAATGAGCCTGCGACCTTGCCGCTCGCTTCAAATTTCAGGCACATGCTAAATGTGAGTGTAGGCTCATCAAGAGTCTCCTCTAGGAGCTCATCTGGCAAAACAAGAGGATGAGCTGTTGAAATGCTTTCCTTTTTCAGGGGTATGAAGGAAACTGCAGGGCTGCTGGCTGGGGAAGGGACCCTGTGGAGAGAGCAGGTCAGTGCTCTCCTGCCTGTTTGGCAGTCAGTGCAGACTGCTGTCGGGGCCTTTGCCTCGCTTCTTGTGAGATTGTAGTGAAGGATTTCTGCAGAGAGTTGCTGAAGGTGTAGTGGATGTGAGGGACATAGGATTGCAATGTCATGAAAAGTTGCAAGCCAGTCTGCTGTCACTTTTCTGTGCTTGGAACCCAGGGCAGGTTAAATCCTGTCCACGGATTTGTGACATGGTCTGCTGAAATGATTTGTCTGTTCTTGGTTTGGCATTCTTCCCTCTCCTGTACCAAACAAAATCTCCAGTCAGGGTGGTGGAGGAGGGTGTTTCAGGTTCTTTGCTGTCTGTGTGTGTTTTTCAGAGTCCTGATGGAGTAGTAACAAAATAGCTTAGTACCTTCAGGTGTGCTTTCCTGAACAAATGTCACTTGACATTTTCCGCTCTGAAGCAGGCCAGTTGGCTGGTTTTTTACCTACCTCTCACATGGATGCTGGACATAGGCCTTCTCCTCAATGATTTCCTTCAATGGCTTCTCTCTCTGGAATATCTCAGCTCATGTAGATTTTTTTTTTTTTTTTTTTTTGCATCCCACAAAGATATGTCTAAAAGCTTGTAGATTTACAAGTGTTAATGTCATTAACTGAGAAAGGAGTTCTCTCCTACCCTCTCTGTCTCCTCTGAATTTCTGTATGGAGAGGACTGGGTGATATCGTAAGCCCATTCTGACAGTTAACTTATTTTCTTCTGAAATAATCATATCTGTCTTGCAACAGGTACAGTATACAGAAAGCATGAGCCCATCTTTTTCCAGTCCCTTGGCAATCCCTTTATTTTTAGGTGCATAGATGGTGTCCTTATTGATGGGAATGATAAAGGACTATCAAGATCAGTGTACAGGTGAGCAGTCAAAAGAAAAAGCGTTTGTCACTCAACTGGTTTAAAACAGTGGTACTAATAGTCTCAGTTCCCTGTTGTCTTACCCTAAACTGAGTTAGATTTTAATATTATCCACCGATGTGTATCTTGTAATGCAAATAACACAAGGGTAAGAGCTGCTGGATGTGATTTGTTATGTACTTGTCTTTATCTGTAATGCCAGTGAGATGCGTTTTGATGTACAGAGACTGCTTCCTGTAAAGAAAATAGTTTTAATAGGAGCAGGATGTAACATAAAATTTTTTAAATGCTTCTGAGCTGTTATTCAGATCTGCTTAGTGGATAAAAAAAAAAAAAGCCTCTATATGGACTTGCCGATATGAACAGGGTGAATCTGGTAACTCCGGCTCTACTGTACAGAGGAGCAGCACTTAAGAAGGGAGCAGTAACCCTAATAATAATACTTATTATCTCACATTGGGAGGGACCCATAAGGGTCATCAAGTCCAACTCCCTACTCCTCACAGGACTACCTAAAACTAAACCATATGACCAAGAGTGTCATCCAGACACTCCTTGAACTCTGACAGGCTTGGTGATGTGACCACTTCCCTGGGGAGCCTGTTCCAGTGACTGACCACCCTCATGGTGAAGAACCTTTTCCTAATGTCCAGTCTGAACTGCCCCTGATGCAGCTAGCCTGGACTGTTTTAGCTTACCTTAAAATACAATTTGTAGCAATTTGTCTTTAAATGTGAGATGAAAAGGAAATAAAATTTAATAACAAGCAAAATGATCTAAAATAATACCTAATTTGATTACTAATACCTACTAATACCAGATTTTAATTCTGGGAGTGAGTTTGAAATTGATATTATAATGAGCCTTCACATCTTTAGAGGTGAATGAGATGTGTTGACACTTCTGTAATGGTAATGTTTGACGTTGGATTTCTGGAATGGTACGTGGTGGTTTTGTGCAGGTTCTTCCAGCGGAGTCTGAAAGACACCACGCATTATGTGGGAGGTTTAAATGCACTTTTTAAAGTATCATCAAGGTGTTGGTCTGCATGCAAACCCCCCCACCCCAGTGTTGTCCTGTCTCCCAGGTGGGTTGGACAGCTGTAACTTTACCCAGCAACTGTGGCCCTTTCTACTGGAGGAAGTACAGATAACCTGTTAAGTGAAGGAGCAGTGATTCACGTTAACACTGTTGGTCATTTCAGGTCTTGCAGCAGGAGAGATCAACTTGGCCCATTTCAAATGAGTGATGAGAGCTGGCTCACAGCTGCCCTGCAAAACCCACTGGCGATGGGACAGTATGTCAACAACTGCTCACATGGTAAGTTGCCAGGTAAATTTTCCAGGCTTGAGTTTGTCTTTATGGATATAAGTTGTTTTGGGGGTGACAGAGAATCAGATACTAATCTTGGAGAATGATACTGCTGTTTCAAACAAGATAAGCACTTATGGAATAAAGAGTTTCTGAGGCTTTTTGTGATGGCTTGGTGTTAGAATCCTTCAGCGTAGCAACACTTCAAATATTCTTATGCTTTTCTCACTGACTCCCCCAGTCTCCTTCCTGGTATGTAGAATGAAAGGCACACATCCCAAAATGTGAGATGGTGAGAAAGAATATCTGGTGAAGGACTGCTGGGCTGAGGCAGTACACAGAGTTGCAGATCAAGTTCCCCAGTATGGTTCCAGCAGGCTTCATGAGAAAACCATACACACAGTGGCATGTACAGTAAGATTCTATCACTGCTCAGTTTGAACTATAATACTTTTTTTAGACTCCCTTACGTTTATGTGCAAAATCTAGGAAACTGCTGATATGGTCTAGCTGTTGGACATGAAGAAGGGAACTACTTATTTATTCTGTCTCAGACAGTATGTCTTGGTCTTAAGGTTTGGGGGAATAAATAACTCATGGGAATGGTTGTGAGATACAGAAAGTTGAATTGCTACCATCCCTAGCTTCTAAGTGGCTTTGAGAGCCTGCATTAGACTAAAGATACCCTGCCTCCAAGTAGCATCCAGAAAAGTTGCTGGAGTAGCGAACCAGGTGTTGATTGGCACAGAGACAAAGGGCTGTCCCATGAAGCTGTTTTTTCCAGATCCAGTGTCCATGTAAGGAAAATTCCCGTCTTCCTGCTGGACAGATGGTGATTTTCTCTCTGCTGTATTTATGATGTATTTTGCCACCAGGAAAAATTTTTTCTGGATTTTTTTAACTGTAAAAGCAAATGTTGTGTATTAACAACATTTAGCAATGCTGTAAGCTACCCCTGGCACTATGCAAGTTGTGCCCCTTCATATACATGTTGATAATCAGGTCATCCTGTTTAATGCGATAAGGATGAATTAAAGCTCCTATAGTTGACTGTGTATCTCTTGTGTAAATTCAAAATAGGACTTCAGAGGAGTGTAGTAGCTCCCAACAGAGGCATGGTTTTAAGGCCTGATGAAACATCTGGTACTTCTGCAGCAGTACATTTGATATTTTTACATATCTCTAAACCCTAGCTAAGATTTTTCTCAGTGTCCTAGAGACTTTTTTTTTCTTCTTCTTATTTCTAGAAAAAGCAGCCAACGTGTGTTATCAGGAGTTTGATGTGCCGGGATACTTTCCAGTAGAACTGAAACAGTATCTTCCAAACATCGTCTACAGCCATGACATAGAGAGGTTAGCAGTGAGTCAAAGAGCTCATAGATTTGTATGATACAAAGCTTACTGTATGTGTGTGTAAAAAAAAACCAAAAAAAAAACCAAACAAAAAACACCATGGTTGAAGAATAACATTATTCCGTATAAAGATGTGTTACACAAATGTGTGCACCTGTATGGAAGAGTTAGCTCTTTGAATAGACTAATTTTAAGTGATTTACAAGACTATTTCTTTTTGTTCCTTTTTCCACATCTTCACAAATAAGATCAGCGTAGCTCTGAAGACATGGTTTTACAAGCAGTTGTTACACTATAGTGTGATTCTTCTGAATCCCATAAAGCACTAATTATATTTTGCTTGTATGACAGTACTTGTTTTTCAGTATGTATTTCGGATGTAGTTAGCAACCCTTAACCAAAGCCCTTCTAAGGTAGTTGAGATATAGGCTTCTTGCTCTCCTGTTCCGTGGTCTTCTGCTTATGTGAGGAATAAGCAAATGAATTTGCAAGAAGAAACCTAAAATTAATTTGTACTGAAGCAAGTGAAGTACTATGCAGTATAAAGTCATGTGACTTAGTTACACTACACAATTACAATATCTTCATTATGATCTGAAAATCCACCTCTTTTAGAAATTAAAACACTTGGAAACCTTTCTCAGATTTTTTTGTTCGGAAAAGTGACAATTAAATGAATATGTGCAAGAAGCAGTATGGACAACAAGGACAGACAATATGTTTGGAAGTGAGTGTCCTGTACTGGGATGTTGTCAAGAATAACTTTGAAGCTCTAAGTAAGTCGTAATGTTGGTCCTGAATTTAACACACCAAAGAAACTGTGCTTCTGGTCCAGTTGCTACCTTCAGGAACCAAGTAATCCTTTTCATTTAGAAGATGTGTAAGGGTTTTAGAGCAGATCATCTAGACTTTTAGTGTAGTTCTGGAGCTATTTAAAAAATCTGGTTGGAGAAAGTTATGGTGCGTATTGGAAAAACAGCTTTTCTGATTCAACTTAGACTTTGTTGAGGCAAGGTTAATGATGCAGTTGTAGTCTGCAGAGAAGTAAATAAATGCTAATAAAAGAAGTGGTAAGACTGAACTTTCAGGAAGCCTGGGTGCTGTACTTGAAGGGTGAAAGTGCAGTGAGCAGAGCTAAGCTATGGGATCATTTCAGGAAGGGGGAATTTTGCTCTCTTCCTTGGAATCTGTCCAAGAAAATACGGTCTTTGAATCATCAATTCTGCCAGCGTACAGCCACTAGACAAAAGATCCCATCTGCTTCTAGCTGCTTGTTTTGACAGTGCTGACAACATAGGTAATCTGGTTTCTAAATCTTTTTCTGTCTTGTAAAAGAGTTCTTAGTACTTGCTTACCTTTTTGTTGTTTGGTTTCAAAATGACCTCACACTCAATTTCTTAGTAGTGGGGACTGTTTGGGTTGATGCTGTTCTTCACGTTCATGTTCATCAGCATCAGAAGAATGTGCTTTCCTTTGAACAGATACTTCAGCTTCAGGGCATGGTCACTTACTTAAAGGAAGTTTAGGGGGGTGGGTTCCTAAATCTCTCTAAGACGACTGCCAGCCATTGATTTCAGCTTGGTTTATGGAGAATTCACCCATCCCCATAGACTGCAGCAGGGCTCTGATGCAGTTTGGAGCTGTCTTTCTGGGTGTTGTTGACTGAGGGTGGGTTTAGACAGCTAGCACCTGTGGATAGGTGCTAGAGGAATGATTTCTGCTCCATGAACTTTGCTGTAGTTTTGCTTCCTGTCTGTGTGTCTTTTTCTCCATCTTGACTAATTCTTTTCATTTCTGCGTAATTGTGTGAGTGGAAGGTTTGTTTGTGGGTTTGTTTTGGGGTTTTTTTTGCAATTATACTGGTTTTGCTTATATTTGCTGTCTGTATCCCAGTGTTGTTCTTCCAGGCTCCCAGGCCTGCATTATGCATATTACTCCCAAAAGTAATCTGGACAGAGCCATTGTTTTAGCTCCCTGCCATGAAGGATTTAAAAAATTCAAAGGGACATGTAATTGTTCACTTTCATATATTTTGCTTTTCCTTTTCTTACAGCTACCTGAGGTGTGTAGTGCTTGTTGCTCTCCGAGACATCAAGCAAGGAGAAGAACTTTTTTCTAACTACTACACTGTTGTCGGCTGAATAATAGAAGAAATCTGTGTCATTAAAATACTTACTTTGTGTGTACTTCAAGTTTTGTGAGCATTTTTACATAATGGAGGGCTGTAGTTTTACCATTTAGACAGCAAGCTGCAGGCTTGGGTTTCCCTGAAAATACTCCACATTTGATGCAGGGGTGAAGGTTTAACCATTTACATTATTAGCTTCTCAGCTCTCTGCTGTTGTTGATATTACTGCTCATCAGTGTTCAGCTGTCCATCCAAAAGCTCATAAAATAAAAACCTAAGTTCCGGACATGTCATTTAATCTTCAGTTTGCACAGCTGTCTGTAACTTGTGGCTCAGTTTTAATACTTTGCCATTTCACATCTTGTGCTTACAGTAGACACAATTTTTAAAAGTGACTTCCCTCTCATGAACTATTCCTTGGATAATTGTCATAGTTCATGGTAATTACTAGTTCTTTTTTCTTGGAGTTGGTCCCTTTGGTATCTGCTTCCTTTTAGAAAGTATTTCAGTGTAGCCAGTTGTCCAAATCTTTTATGAAGCTGGTTTTGGAACAATGCTAATACATGCTTCAGGTGTGCCTGCATGGTGCCCTGTCATCAGGAGGCCAGCTTGAGCCACTGGCTTTATCTGAGCCTGTCTTGGGGTGGGAGGAAAAAAGGTCTGTATCTTGAAGCCCTGTTCAATCCTAGTTTCAGTGGTTCAGTGAAAGTTTCCTGGCATGTGGCAACTTTCACAGCTTTTATTCTCAAGGAGAACCTCATGTTGCAGTGTAGCTGGAGGAAATAATGCCAGCCAAGTGTGCTGTGTATTTTTTTAATGAGTTACTGGCATAAACAGAGCCAGCCATTCCCACATTAATTCTTGCTGCTGTCTGCAAACTGCCTTCAGAAAGTAAACAGGAGACAGCTTGTCAGTCTTTCAGTCTCACTAAACAGCTTGGGAAAAGCAAAATCATCCCTGTGTTTACTTCAAAAGTCCAAGCAAGCCTCCCAATGAATTTGTGGTTGGCATAAGCTGATGAGAAAGGAGAGGCTGGGAAATGGTGCGCTCTAACAAATCTGGTAGTGGTTGGGGCAGCCAGGGTGCCCTGCTTAGCTGCAGAAGCATCTCGTCTCCTTTTCAGAACGCAAAGCTTTTCGGTGTCTATGTGAACTTGGTCTCCTTCCAAGCCTGAACCTTGTCTTTCATATTCATCTGGAAGTCCTTCTCAGCCAGAGAAGGCTGGCTTTTTCAGGAAGATTTAAATAGCAGAGCGATGAGACAGTGGCAAGCAGCTCAGCGTGGGTTGTACAGTTCTATGAAGATGCTGGGGACAGCTTTTAGTGGCCCCTTGTGTCTTCACGGCGTGGTAACAGATCAAAGCAGGCAGCGATCTGCGGTCTACTGAAGAGGATGCTCATCCTCTGTCACTCTGAGGATCCCTTCTCTCCTGAGCTGGGCCTTCTCACCAGCTCTCTCTGGGAGGAGGTTGTTGGGCATCTTGATCTCTGAAGAGGAGGCTGGTTGTTGGGCTGCCTGCAGCATTGCTTAGCTCATCAGGCCAGGGTTTATGGGTAGGTGGAGAACCCTAGTCTCAGCATGCCAGGAAAGGGAGATCCTGTTCATGTTCTCCAGGCTGAGGTGCTGTCACACAAGGGCATAGATTACTGCAGCTGTCTCATTATATACTTGTTAATAATGACCGGATCTGAAAGTATGTTCCTGTCTGACGACTGTGGAACTTAAGTTTACAACCCATCTATTGAGAAAGCTTTGCTTTACTGCACCTGCTGCCTCCTGGATGTGAATGTAGCAGGTTAATGAAGGAGTGCAGCGCTGAAGCGCAGGCTGCCTATCAGTAGCAGGGCACCTGTGACTGGCTTCTCCTTGCTGAAATACTGAAACCTGACAGCCTGCTTCAGGGACTGCTCACAGGTGAGGGAAAGCAAGTGGCCTGCAGCTGGCAGCAGCAATTGATTTCTGTCTGCTGGTGGCTACAGAAAGCCAAAAAGTAGCAGGAGGAGGAGGAGGTTGTACTTCTGAGCAAGCAGCAGCGCAACATGGGCACTGAGCAGGAGAAAGGAAAATGGAAGAGTAGTAATAATGGTCCAGTAACATGCTACAGCCTAAGAGAGGGCTTCAGGTATATCAGACTTCTTGTCGTCTTTAGATCCCTGTCTCTTCACTGAAGGTGAAAGTCATTCTAATTCCCTGTGTGTCCATTCATTACCACCAAACTGACACCACCAGTGCCTGAGAGGAGGATGCATTCTGATGTATTTTCAGATACAACGTGCAATCTGATGATAATCCAGTAAAATTCTCTATGCAACCTATTTATGGTTTGTTAATAATAAATTACTCATTACAATAAGTACAGTCTCTTGAAAGATGATTTCCTGGGTGATTTTCATTGGAATTCCCTAAAAATAGGGGCTTACTTGGCTAATTCTGCCTCTGTATGCCTGTACACTTCAGTGGTAGAAGAAGGAAAGGAAAATCAAACTAAAACTTAAGGTGTTTTCAATTACTGACAGGCCAGATCCGCAAAGTCCTTCTCCCAGATGCAGACCCTTAGTCTGCATGTGTTAAAATACTGTACTAATTCAAGAGAGAATTTGTATGTTTAAATCTGTTGCCAGCTGTGATGCTCTGGCTGGGATCCTGAGTGAGGATCACCAGCTGTCTTGAGCCTGGCTGGGATGGAGCTAACTGTCCCCACAGCAGCCTGCCCAGGGCTCTGCTTTCTCTTGGTAGCTAGAGGGGTGCTGGTAAAACAGCAGTGCTGTGGCTGGTGCTGAGCAGCGCTCCCACAGCATTGACCTGTCTCTCCCACGCCCTCACCCCCAAAGGCCGGTAGGCTGGGAGTAGGAAAGAGCTTGCGAGGGGACATAGCCAGAACAGCTGTCCCAAGCTGACCAAAGAGGTACTCCATACCACACGACATCATGCTCAGCAATGAAAGCCAAGAGAAAGGAGGCGGGGAGGGAGCGTTAGCTATTAAGGTGTTTTCCTCCAGACCAGCTGCTATGCTTACTGCGGCCCTGCTTCCCTGGCAGTGACTGGACATCACCCGCTGATGGGAAGTGGTGTTTCCTTTGGAAATATTGTTTCCTTTGCTTCTGCACAGCCTTTGCTTTTGCTTTATTAAAATGCCTTTATCTCAACTCACAAATTTTTTTTTCATCTTGTTTTCACCCCCGCGCTGGTCTTGCTGAGGAGGGAACTCACAGAGCAGCTTGGCAGGCACCTGGCAGCCAGCCAAGGAGACCACACTACACCAACATAAGAGCAAAACCAGGAGTCCAGGGGCAAGGGGAAATGGAAAGGTTCACCACTGCATGGAGAGTTTTAGGCTTATTTTTCCTGGATTTGTTTGAACTCCTTACCCCTGTAGTAAATGGCCTCGTAGTCCTGGTGCTGCCAGAGGGGGAGTGCAGCTTGTGAACTTGGGGGGGGTTGAAGGGCTGAGAAGCTTTAGCAGGTTGGGCTGAATCCATGTGCCTCCTCAGCAGGAGCAGGAGGATGGAGCCCTTGACACTGCAGTATCGATTTGGAAACACTGAGGGCTATCTGCTGCTGTTGAGATGGTGAAATCAGGTTTTGGAATAAATGATATTGCATCAAGAGACACCCGCTGGTGTCACCAGGCTCTTCTGAAGAAAATTAGTCTGCAAGGCTCTAACTTTTGACTTCTTAGCTCAAAAGGCGAAGCTAGTGGTAACAGTTGACTGTAATTCTCCAGGAGGTTAAGTTGTTAACTGGAATCCCTGTTGATTCAGCATGGCAGGAGAACAGAGGTGCCTGAAAGATAAAGAAATGAGCTAACGAACTTTGCAGGGGTGCTGCAGACTCCTGGAAAGAATAGAGATGGCCCACAGCAGGAGAGGGATGTGTCTGCTGGGGGAAAGAGCTGCAAGGGATCAGCACAAGAATTGGAAGCCCACTTTAAAAAAGCAGTTCTTAATCAAGCTACTGAAGTATTCAGTAATCAAGAGTCTGAAGTATCACCAGTATGATTTAGAGCAGGTGGACATGAAATAGCCTGTGTCAGCTGTCCTGGTTAACACTTGTGTTTGAAGCGCCTGTCCACAGGGGGAGTCCATGAAGGGCTGGGCTGGGGGGGCGACTGATGGCAGCTCAGAGGCCACCCTTCCCTCAGGGCTTCCTTCTGGGAGCCACTTTATCCATCGTCACTGGCTGTGGCCATGGAGAGTGTGATGAAGGCAAACCACATCTCCCTGCTGTGGCGCTTGTGAGTTGGAAGGACTGAGAATCAGTTTGTCAGGCACTGCAAAGAATATAATCTGTTAAGCTACTGATGGGTATCCATGTGTGTACACGTATTCATATATATATAAGTGTTATCTATATATTCATACATATACACAGGTGTTTCTATACAAATATACAGATATCTAAGTGAGACTGGTGCAGCGGCTACAGTACCCCACGCAACTCCCACAGCACTCTGATAGGAGAGGGGGAAAGGTGTGAGTGCATAAATGCTGCTGCTCATCTGTCCCTCCTCCCTTGCTCTCAAAGCCACCATTCCTTCCTGGCCATTGCTCATCAGATCCTAACGTGAGCTGATCTGACTTGCTAAATGTGGTAACACCAACACAAACCACAGGCTTTCTCACTTGTTTTGGTTTCTGCTATTGCAGTGAGCTGAAACAGCTCATATAGAGGGGCCAGCGCGAGCAGGACAGCTGGAAGCCTATAGGTGGTGGCTGCAAGTTGCTAATTTGACTCATGGATCTCATGAAGCCATGGTTTAAGACACTTTTATTCTGCATATAAAGGTGACCTTGTACTTACCCGACAGCTCCTCATTGCCTGCTGGGCTGCTCTGCTCCCTGGCTGCACGCTCCTTCCCTGTTCTAGTTCTGGAGCTCACCTGGCGACACAGAAAACCGAGTCAGTACCTGCAGCAAAAGGGAGCGATGTTCTTCTGCCAAGTTAATGAATTGTGTCAAATCTGTTCACAGAACAGGCAGATGTGTGCCAGCGCTAAGGCAAAGGAGCCAGTGGGGATCAGCAGCCATGCTGCAGGACAGCAGGCAGCCCATTGCTTCAGCATAGCACGAAGGCAGCAGGAGAGCATGTTTCTGCTGAGACATCCTGATCTCCTCCCGTATTGGAGGGCCAAGATTTGCTCGGAGCTCTAAATTACTTTTCCCTGCAGAGAAGGAAGAGAAATCCAAGAAGTAGTAAAAACTTTTTTAGCAAACTGATCACTGGGGTTTATGCTTCTAGTCTTTGCTGCTTTGCATTTTGTGGACAAAACAAGGACTTAGGCACTGAAGAGCCAAGCACCATAAGGACTTCAGGGGCTTCTTATCTTTTTAGTGGCAGAAGCAGATGTGTCCCAAGATTACTATAAAGTAACTATTGAGTTGGGGGGAGATGTTTACATTATATACAGGTATACTAATTAAAACCATTTTTAAGACTCCAGCATTGCAAGGCTAACAATTAGTTGCATCAAAACATGAAAGGACTAGATGGGGTCAGTCATTATGATTTGTACTAATAGCACTGATCTTTATGCTTAGCAACCAGAAAAAGAGAGGTGCAGCTTGTCACCAAAGAGCTTTGGATAGGTATTTCATTTTGCACCTTGTATCAACCATCATTACAAAGACACTTATCTTGCATCTCTTCATCAGAGGAAGCAAAGCTCATTACATTACTTGGCAAATTACAACTTTTGCTGTTCAGAATTGTATCAGCTTGCACTTCTATCTAATTAAAAAAAAAAAATCTTTTCTTTACCCAAAGCTTTATTGTGCCAGCCATTGCAAAACCAAGCATGCTGGGCCTATGAAAGCACAGCACTAATTCTGGCCTTTGACCACATTGGTATGTAAGATCTTATACAGTGCTTTTCAGGATCCAAGATTAGTGGTCATTTTCTTGAGGGAAAGGAAAATCAAGACAACAAGCATTTCAAACCATTTAACTTCAGCATTAAGGCCTAAGCCAAGTAAAATTTTTGCATTCACACCTGTAATCTAGCTGGACATGGATTTAAGGATTTGGGCAAGCTTTCTTGAGAGAGAAGAGGAGAACAGGAATGTGTTCTCTACAGTTTACCGTGTAGTTTGAATACTTATACCGCTGCGATGCGTTACTCTGAAGCTACGTTTAAGTCCCATCTAAGATTTTTCTATGCTTAAGCCATAATGCTTTAATGTTTGAGGGAAATCATTACTTACTATCTTACCTGAATCGCTGCATGCTGCATTTTTCACTCTTCTCTATGTAACATTAGGTAGTGTGGTAGCGTGCACTTTAGCGGTACCCAGAGTTCTTAAAATGTGTTCAGAGTTACTGCTAAATATTTCTGAAAATGAAGTAGCAAACATAGTGCAGATGTATGTAAAGCTTTACAAGTAAAGAAAGGTTTCCAGACATTTATTTCTGGAGCTGTACACCAGGTATTAAAGTACAACAAATACAAAATAATGCTCAAAAAAAAAAAAATCAGTGTTTATGTACAAATATTAAAACCAATGCAACAATAGCGACTTCCTCTTGAACATATGATACTAGAACATGTTCCGATTGTCACTAGATTTGTTGTTATGCACAGGGTCCTTTGAACTGAGAATAACTGGAATCTCTGTTTTATTAGGAGAACTATAACCATTCCTACTGTATTTTACAATTGATAGTATCTTCCTCCTTCTTTCAATGAAAAATAGGAATAAAAAAAATAGTAACCTTGTCATTATCTTATAAATTACTGTATTTAGTTTCCCTGTCTGTAGACAATGTGCTTGTAATGCTGGGCAAATAGTGTCCCTGTTGGTCAGTTTATCCATTATTTTACATTCAAAGTTGAAATATTCACTAGAGACTTTGGTTAAATTAAGTAGTATCACTATGTTCTACTTGATCTGAAGTTTTCCTATATTTTTGACCCTCAGTTTTAAAAATTAAAAACAGGAAACAATTGCACAATTCATTGACCAAATTGTACACAATTTAGTATTCTTCAAACAGTATTGTACATCCTTCAAGTAAATTCAGCAGTTTGACCATGACAAGAGGAAAACTAAACATTTAAAAACCTAGCATGAGAAGATGATGTATGACTAACCAAAGTAAAAGTATTGCTATAATCACAGCACCAGTTACACTCCTAAATGAATCAGCTACCCTCTTCAGATTCCCTGTACATAAAAAGGATACATTTACCAACACTGCAGTTGCCCATTATGGATTTTTTTGGTTTGTTTGTATGAAGAAAAAGTGTGGCAAAGGACAAAGAATTCATCACAGTTTGTTATAAGAATTGTGCTTCACCATCTAAGAACCAAGGCAATGTAATTTCTTCATATGGTTGCAATTCAGTTATCTTCATGATGACTTTCAAAACGCAATTCTTTTAATAAACAGTAACAAGTTCTCCATTTAAATGTTTAAACTGAGAGAAAAATAAGTAAGTCCAGCTTTTAAAAGAAAAGTTCAATAAATAGCTATTTTACATGGATAGAGTCATAGTGGTACAAATTTATGAATGTCACATCAAGCATGCACAAAAATGTAACTATACACGGAAGTAGTCAGAAAATATTGAAATAGATATCTAAAAAGATATGAAGAATTTACATATTTACAAAATCTTGCAAATTATTGCCTCATTTTAACAAGGAATTAAAAGTAAACGATACCAGCTAGCTAGCCAACAGGCTAAATAAGATCAGCATTTAAAAATCTATTAGACTAGCTGGAATTCATTTTTCTCTCATATCATTTTCTGAATTTTGGTCAAAAGTCTTTATTAAATAACTAAAGTGTCCATTCAACTTGCTGACAACCCAAATCTTAGACAAGTCTCTGTCTACTTTAAGAGCCCAGCAATGCATAGATAAACTGAATATATTACTGCATCAGCTAATGAGAATGGGCATGTTCATTTAAGTGCAACTGGTATAAGCATTCAGTCATCTTTGTATAATGATTTTTATACAGACCAGCCACTCACTGTAAACCCATAGATAAACTTGAATGTATAACAATGGAGGATTATGGCCAGTATTTTACAAAATTACGTAAAATGTGTTGATTCATAAAAAAAAAAAACAAGGTACAAAGTTCAGCACAAAACACAGCAACAAGAAGCTGACAACTTGGCTAAAAATGTCAGAGTACAACACAGGGCCAAGGCTACCTGTTATTTACTGTGTACTTACTAAAGTTACATATTTCAGATGTGTAAATTAAGAACGGATTACAAAATTATGTCTACTTTTGTCCACTGTGCTAAACTAATTTGGTTTTAATATGGTAGATGTGCTATTGTGTAAACACTTCAAAGCAATCTTCATTACAATGCTGTAAAGAAAACTCCATACGCTGCATCCGAAACTCAGGATGTCAATGCATTTCACAGTATGCATAATAAATACCCTCTTCCCTTTCAAATATTAAAGTCACTACTTTCTAATTACTCAGCATAACCTTGAAGCAACTATTACAAATATCAACAATGCAAACTTAATCACTTGAATAATGAAAACAAATTAGTGGCAATTAAATTTGTAATACAAACAGTGCAAAGAAAAAGTATGGCGGGAAAGGGGTAATCCTATTGAAGTAAGGTTCAGATTCTCATTAAAAAACCCTGCAAGCTGTATGCTACAACAACCGGTTACAAGCCAATACTATGCTTGGGCTGCCTCTCCCGCAAGAACTAGAACAAACGTTTGCAAGACAAACTTCCTGGATGGCTAAATTGCACTCAGGGTTCAAAATAATAATAATAATAAAAAAAAATGTACTGAAGTTACATAGTTGCTTTTATGGGAAACATTTTTACTCATCCTTTCCTATTTGACCAAGGTAGTGAAGTGCCATTTTTGAGCCAATGACTTGCCAAAACAAATAAATGCAATCCACACTAAAGAAAAACTTTCAAATACATACTTCAAGGTTCTACTATTCCTATATAAACTAGATAGTCCCTCAAAACTGTAACACTTTGAACTGCAGTGCTCCAAACAATCTAAGATGTCTTCCAAATGTAGACTGTTTGTTTAGTGGTAAATCCTAAGCTGTGCAGACTGTAGCTTTATACATCAGCTGCCTTAGGAAACTTAAGGTACATGATTACATTACTCTTCAAAGTCGTGGACAAAACCCATCCGAATACAATATAGCCTAAAACGCATCTGTTTAAGCCAGTAAATAAGTTTAAAGTACACAGACACCTATGGCAGCATAATTACTTCTCTGTAAGGTAGCCATGGCCTATATTTTTGCAACAGCATCGAAGTGTAGGTCTTCACACTTTAGTCATGTTAAGTCCCTTGTGCTAGCTTCCACCAAGATGAACTTGCTGTTTTGTAAACTGAAGTGCTCTAGTTTAGTATCACATGAGAGAAGGTTCCATTTAAAAAACATCCTTGTATGTTTGTGCAGTTTAAATTAAAGAAACCCATCCCTGCCTTTATAAGGAAAAAAAAAAAAAAATGCTACATTGAGCAGGGATCAGGATCGGTACCTGTAAACATTGTTATTCCACTGCATCCGTTACGGCAAAAGTAACTTAGACTAAAAAGCCACTCCAATTCATTCAGAACTTCTGTGCTGGTTTTGAAACGGTGGCCTCCGTCTACAGGCTTTAAAAAAAACTGAAGCAGAGCTTAAAGCTGCACCACAGAGTTCTCTTAGTCCCAAACTCTGCTGAACATCCTATGACATTTCCACATTTATGGACTGAAAAAGAAATTACTCTTGATAAATCAAGATATAGTTCTATACATACAAAGACATCACTGATGTCATAAAGTTCAAACTTCCAGTGAAAGACTAAGCAAACCTGATAGCTCCCATCAAGTTTACTACTACTGCATAAAGTACCCACTGTTTGTTTAGTTTTCCACAGTCATTCTGAGTGAAGGGCAGCATGTTGGTGAAGAGTGTGGGTATTGATAAAACCATTTGTCTCATTTGCAGATAGACTGCTGAAGTCAGCCACTGAAACAGCCATTTTGGCACTGGTAATATGGTGTGTGTGGTTCTCGAAGTCCACACCAAGGTTATTTACAGAGACATCACTCATGAAAGATTCTGGGACAGCAATTCCCATTTTCAATCTCTTCGCAGGTCTTTCTGTCTCCTCACTGCACATGTTCATTGGGTTTAGCTCTGAATGATAAAAGCCAGTCTCAAATAAATTAAAACAATCACTTTCACCATTGCTAGGCAAGTTAAGCAATTCTTCTGTTCCAACAGGCACGTGATTAACTGGTGCTCGGGGTAAGCTGTCCATAGGAGGAAAGGTGTCATCCAGGCAGTTCACATCTGAAGTGTGGCAGACTGTAGCTACACTATTTGTCAATGCTGGAGAAAAGATGAACACAAATGCAAATGAAATAGTTGTTTGCATAGTTACAATAACAAATTTTTTTTTTCCTTGATTTACCTGTCAACTCATTGGCAGTGATAGAGTTCAGAATGCTTAACTGTTGATCAGGAATGGTTTCTGTTCGACTATTAGATGTTAAGGCTGAAGAATGCACTGCGCCACCAAGGGCTTCTGCTTCATCGACCAAACGATCCATGTAGTCCCTAAAAGAATATTGCATCCATAATGTATTATTTAACTGGAAAACAAAGCCTAAAAATGATGATGGATTTAATTTCAGTTGCCATAGCCACTGCAGCATTACACTGCAATGACAGAAGGAAAAAAATAATCTTCTACATTTATGATTTGTAACAGAAAACATATTCCAAGAACGTTTTACTTACGTAACTCCTGGATGATGGTTATATCTCTTCTTTCCAAATCTTGTTTGCTGAGCAAAGTAATCATAACGTTCTGACTTTTTCCACATGTAATAGAAAGCCACACACTCAGCAACTGTTCTGGTTCTTACCTAAAAGAAGGCAGGAAGAATTGACAAGATTAATGCAAAGACTTATGTTTTGTCATCTCTCAAATTCTCCTGCAATATTGTTAGTTTTATTGTTCTAGTATCTGGAACAAACCAATTAGATTAGAAGACTTCAAAGATCTACAGTTTCAAGTATTACATTTGTTCTACTGAATGCATTATTGACTTTTTTAAAACTAGATTGAAACTATATCTACATCTGAAGCTTTTATATATATAACAATTTTTTTAAACTATAAGATAGACTCTCTCTTAAGATGGAAAAAGCTGAGCAAATCAATGACCTAAGAGAAGTGGCACAGGAAAGACTTTGGGTACATATTCCTTTTGGGGAAGTCCAGAATCCTGGAGGCTTTGACAACAGATAATCACAATGGTAAACGCTTAAACAACAAAATAAAATTGTAGTCTCGTTGAGAAGGTATAAAGGACTCAAAAGATTCATTTTGATCTATGTTAACTGTCTCTTTCCCCCAAATGGAGTTTGCTATGTGAAATCAGATTCTTGGTAGAAAAAGTCATTACTTCTACCTATATTCTTATAAACTACATCCATTTTTAGATGCAGAAACATTTCACATCATCCTCAGCCCACAGTTCCAGTTCAAGTTTTACAACTAGCATATACAACTCTATCAGTTGGCAGTAAACTATCCTTGAGCTTAATCAAACTCACGGAAACATCAGAGGCAAATCCAAAATACCTTGGGTGTAATAATAAACCTTGCTAGTTTAGACAACAACATACCAGGCAGGGGAGGAAATGAGCAGATGTCTGTATGCTAGTGATATCAAGTCCCAATTAACAGCGCTTTGCAGTACAGTGATAAGGAAACACCTCGTGTTAAATTCTTCCACACACAAAAGCTTGTCTAGCTGATACTTTTGAAATAGAAGTGGTATCAGCTTATGCTGGGTCCCAGAACCTTCCCTGAACTTCCAGGCATTTTACCCTTTTGGAAGAAAACCCAGCTGATTTCTTAGACAAATTCCGATCCATAGCAACAGATACATCAACCCACATACTTTGTTGCATGTTGGAAAAAATATTTTAAAATTATTTCTTTGCATCTCTGATGAATTACTGTTTATTGGTAAGGTCCACTTAAAATGTGAACCACCCAAATATCATTTAGGACAGGTTAAACCAGGTATTGAGCATGACTAGCTTACTGCTGCTGAACAGCAACAACAAACCTATCAAGTTTATCTGAAATACAAGACCACCTGACTCCTAAAGGAAAAAACTTTCAAGGTGGTATCAAAGTATAAAGTAGATACACAGAATATTTGGAAACATCCATATTGACAACTGTTGCTTTTTGATTAAAAAAAAAAAAATCCCTGTTCTTCAGGCACAGATCAGTCAATCAGAAGCAATCCAGATCAAGATTAGAACTCCTTTGCTGGCCACAAAACAGAGTCCTTATGGATGACTACACTTCCTGAAAACACAAAGAGCTAAGCCTGTTTCAGTAAACTTGCACCTTCCTGGTGACAAAAATAAGTTAAGATGCATTTTCCCCTCCCACTGCCGTGGGTATGGAAATACTGTACTTCTCGATGAGGCACACATTTAAACTAAATTGTAATATGAATGCATAAATGGAAGTAATGTCAACATAAGTCAATTTCAGAGGTAATACATTGACTCATCTTGCAATGCCTAGTTTTCCAATGACATCTGAGGAAAAATTAGGACAAAAATGCCAAGCTGGTTTTAATATGTTGGTTCTTATTTCACTCTTCTGCATGGCTTCTGACAAATGTATTGCTTTTACAGATTTTCAGCATTGTATCATCTATTAATTCTTCCATTTAACTGTAGAATACTAACCTTGTTTTTCTGTATGAGATGAAAGTCTTTTCCATAAATAAGAAGTGCATGTTCAAAGCTTCTGCATTCTTCTTCTGTCCATGCTGTCATCTCTTCTAGACAATTATAAAAGTAGCATGATAAACTTGATTTCACTCACTAACCTTTTACAAATAAAATATTTGTTGCTAATGGATGACTATTCAAATGCATTCTAAAAAAAAATTCCATGTTCTTTCCTCTACTGTACAGATATCCTACCTGAAATCTAACATTCTTCCTTATAAAGACTCATAGAAGAGTTTGATTTCTGAAATCTTTTATCCTTGAGGGCAAGCGACACGCAAAAGATTTGATTCATTATTTCTTAATAAGTTTGTCATCAAAAAAACAAGATTTGATAACATCACTGAGGTGTAAGCTAGAGATAATTTTTCTGAATATTTCTTCTCACACAGGATACAAAGAACAGTGGTCGTTGAAGGAACAACCTGTTGTGACGGATACTCCTGCTCTGAGTGAGCGAGCAGTACTTTGATTCAGGCATCACCAACAAGGCAGCCTGAGATCAGCCCTGCTGCGCAAACCGTGAGAACTGTGCTAGGCTGTATCTTCTCAGGAACCAAGAAGTCTAAGCTATGTCTTATCAGGAGCTAACAGTACCAGCCTGAGCTGGGAGTAGACAAAACTAAAACTGCTACAGCTGCACACCTGCATGTACACCAAAGAGGAGGGCTGACTACGAGCTGGTCACTTTACACTATAAGCATCTGTAGCTGCCCCAAGCCCTCTGAGCTCTCCTGCAGAGCAGCAGTCTGGGCAGGACTGATCTCCGCTCGAGCAGGGAAGAGATGCCTCTCAAGGTTATCCTTCAGAGTTCAGACATCCCCTGCCCAGGATGTAAAGGCTGTAATTAGGTAAGTGACATTTTTACATTAAGCCTAAAAAGTATATTATATATATATATACATGTCATTAATATACATCAAGCTACAGCTTAATTATTAGAAGTGTAGTAAGTAGTAGGGTGTTTGACCACCACCTAATTATCAATTAATTATTGCTAAATCAGTTTAATTACTATTCAATTGATTAATTACAGTTTAATTACCAATCAACTATTAATTATCATTTGATCATTTAATCATTAAAAAAACCCTTTTAGTTAACCCCATAACGATGACTTTTCTCAATTATTCACCTGCAACAAAAAATTGGCGTAGTCGGCAGGATAGCCGATTCAATCACTGACTAGTTATGGAGTCACAGAGTTAACCCTTCACTGAAATTTTCATATGACTGGGTGCGTGAAAAGTGGGATAATTGGAATAAGATAAAAGAACAGTTGAACCCTGTAAAAGGGAAGCTGAAAGACGGTAAAGAGAAGGTAATAATAATAATAATATACAAGATGTTGAAGAGGTATTTATAAGCTGCATATCAGTTAAAAGAACGTAATGAACAAGAAGGGAGAATGTTACAAAATTAGTTTGAACAAAAAAAGTGACAAGAAATGCTGTTACCTCTGCAAATAAACCAAATGCTTAAACAACCAAGGGAGCAAAAAGAAAAAACGCAAAAAAGCAAGGCTGAGTATCTCTGGCAAGCCTCCTTAACAAGGAGACTGTATTATGTTAGATCAGGATGGCTTTTGGGGACCAGGAGTGCTCTTGAATGGGAGACCATCCCCTAACACTGAATCACACACTATTACCCGTTGAGTAGCATATTGGGCAGGAGGCACAGACCCTCAGGATAGAGGGGAGCCCACTGCTATATCAGTAAGAACATTAAGTGAACTTTTTACTGCCGTTACAAAAGCAGCCTGCCTTAACAACAGAGGTGCACATGGTGATTACCCTGTCACTGCCCCTGTAGACCCCAAAGCCACGAAACCACTAGTAAAAGGAGCCCCAGCTGTTTTAAAATTGTACTTCATTGCAAAAAGAGTTGAAATAAGACAAAACACAGAACATAATGCTCAGGAAGGTCAGGGTGGCCAAACCCTTCTCTGACCCATCCCGACCTGGGCAGACTTGATGCATGGCATTGTAAATCATAGTCGAGAAATGGGGTGGTGTGAACGAACACCAGCAGGGCTGTCCTGAGCTAACACAGACAGCAGACGGATCTGGCAAGTAAGACAGACTTCACAGAACCCCTGACACTTTCCCCAATCTCATAAACCTCCTGGTGAGGTAGTGGACCCCCAGAAAAGGCATAATGAACCGTGGAAGAAAGGCTTAGCTCTAGGCATACCTCGGGTAGCCATACAGGGCCAACCGACTGGGACTACACTTAGTCTGATCCAGGCTTTTGAAAAACAAAGGCTATCAGGGAATCCGGAACAAACCAACCAACCATCTGCTCCTAAAGATCCCAGGAATAACCCTTTCAGATTTCATAAGGCGGAACTGCAAATATCTCTCTGTTGGTTTTGGTTTTGTGGGTTTTTTTAAGATAAAACCCGCAATTTCTAAAACTGAATTTTAGTTTTACAAATAACAAAAAATCATTAAAAAAGAGTAAGAATTTTAAAACAAAGTAGCTCAAACTATTTGAATAGGTCAGTTTTGTCTCAAGTATTGTTGCTTTCCTATCTCGATTACGGTTTGGATCTATATAATTAAGAAGGGATATTTCAGGCTTCTTACATTCATAATGATGATCCAAAGTTCCTGTTCAGCTGATATTAACAGCCAATGGCAGGGGGGGAAAAACACATTTCAAAACATTTCTGGAAGCAGACACTGAAACCAAGACCTTTCTGCTCCCAGAAGGAGGAGATAATCATGCCACTGCAAAGCCATTTTCTTTCTTTCTCACCCCACTCATTTTGCACTCTTTACTACAGAGTTCTCAAGTTTTAAAGATAAAAGATCCTCATGTAAAGTCCAACAGTTAAGAAATTATTTTGAGAGTGGTGGATTTTTAATTCTCATCTTGAGATAGCAGTGAACTTCAGTGGGTAGATCAGATCATAGCATAATGGTCACCCTAGGAGACAGGCACTGACAGTGTTATCATCCTTTATCATTTTTAATGAAGGTATAATAAGTCCCATCTGACGTGGGGCAGGACAGGGAGTGTGAGTACTAGTCCTTAGGACAGAATTTTGGGCGCTGAACTACAAACAGGCAGAGGTATTCTTCAATCCTGGAACAGGAACATAAATCCTAGAAAGGTGTGGGATTTAGGACACAACCCTGCAACTGATACTTCCTTATTGTTTAGGTCTACGTAATCTCTTCCTGTACATGAGCCTTCTGAAGCACTGCTCTGACAGTCCTTATTGTACCCTTCAGCTTTACTTTAGATACTTAGCTTTCACAGCACCTAACTTGTAAACACTCAAGTTCCCTTTGAATCCAATTCTGAGTAGGGAATATCTGTCAGATTATCAGTTTATACCAGGGCTCATACTCCATTTCTGCTTTATGCAACACATATGTTAAAATATAGGACAAAGAACTGTCTTTGCTAAATGATAAACTCTGACTTTCATTTAAGGGAGTAATAAACTCAGGGACAAACAAGATGGAAGCTCGTTTTCCACTGTAAACTCAAGCAAAGCTCTCCATGGTCTACTGAAGACCTATGGAACTATACAGTAGAACCAGTTTAGGATTGGCATAGCACAACATTAGCACAGCGGGGAAGAGAGTGGGGCTTATTTATATAGCCAGCTGTGTTCTCCTGATTTTGGTATAAATGTCATCAGATTATAATTCATCATGACCTTAAAAAGATGCTGTAATGTGGGTGAGAACTGCCACACGGGAGGCAAAATCACCGCTCACCCCGACCCCTCTCCTCAGTCTGTGCCATTGTTACAACAGCAAAGGAGGAATGAAAGGAAGGTGAAAAACTGATCCTCAACCTCTATACAAGTTGCAAACTTCTCTAGCAGGAATTTCCAACTGGCCAACAGTCAGATTATACCTAATCTGTGCTAAAGACATCATGGAAAGGGATGTGCTCATCAACCTGATTCTTACTCAAGGTTTCTCTATGCAACTTTTTTTTTTTTTCAAACATACATTTCTGAAAAACCAGGTATTCTCTCTTACCCTGAGACGCCTTTCCATTTGAGCAGTACCTCTCAATTGCTTCTTTAACATTATGGCTACTTTTAAGAAGTTCATACAGTGCCTATAAAATAGAAAAAGTCTTTAGAAAGAGTCAATGTTTGCAAATATCCAATCTAGACCTCCAAAACTAGCCCTTCAGTTAGCATATCTAACATAGAAAAGATAATTTTTCTTTATAGATGATGAAAATTTTAAAATAACAACCAAAAGCAAAACCATCTAGAAGTTAAGGCAAGGATTAATTAAGAAAGTGTAAAACATTATATGCAATTATTAAAAAAGCTGGATTTGTCAACAGCATGGCAATCAGAAACATCACAGATCACAACACTGCTACCATTCAAACACTCTTAATTTTAAGCATGTGCTTAAAGTTACAAATAAGATCCTGACCCCAATAACATCTAATTAAAAAAAAAAAAAGAAAATTGAGTATTGCTGCCTTTATAACAGAAGGCAGAGAAAGAGAACACATGTTAATTACAAAGCAACGTGTCACAAATGGAACAGGATATAAAACATACTTGTTCATTGTCCCGGGTATGTAGTCCTTCAGGAATTCTGCCAATCATTTTTTCATTTCCTGTTCTTAAGGAGGTTTCAAAAAGGTATTCTTTAACTTTACTTTCTGAGATCACATCAGGTTTCCAAAGTAAATGGTCTTCATTTTCATAGGCTGTTAAAACAGAAATCCATTAATGCCAGGTGTGACATTTTTAAGACTGTAACATTAAGAGCTATTTCACAAAGACAAAGAATACAGAAGTAATCAAATCAAGCACCATCATGCCACTTTTCAATTGCAGTTCACTTTTCCCCAAAAGCCTCAGTTAAGAGACAGACTCTGCAGTGTGACATGGTGAAGAGATTCAGGTTCCACGAAGATAAGAGACTGAACTCTTGAGATGAAGAGTCTTTACAGAGGAGCAGCTTGTTGACAGCTAGATGATTCAAGTCAAGTTATGCATATGTATTCATCATCTCCACATAAACTAACTAGCAAAACCGTTCACAGTTTTGTTCAGCTGTTTTCAAAAAATAAACTATAGTTTACAGTAAAAGTGTAGGGTATTACTTTAATATTTCAAATATTACATGTCAAAAAAAAACAAGAGGAGGTAGCTAATTGGTCATTTTCAACTAAAATTCGCCAAAGATAACTTAACAGAACAGAAATTTAGGTCTCAATGTGGTAATCTGTTTTTCCATTCACTAACAACTGAATGCTGTTAAGAACTTATACGTTGCATACTTTACAAGGAATCAGGATGTATATTCCTCCTTCATAGTACACTAAAATCATGCATGCACCTCTTAAGTAGCTTATTTGAAAGACAATATATTGGAAATACACAAAAGTTGGACTGAACCTTTGTCAGTCTGTGCACGTTTCAATTCTAGATTAAACTATAAATCCTTTATTCTGATCAACAGTTGTGATTAACATTGCATGTAATGTTTCACATACTGTCTTGGTGATACAAAATTAGTTATTCAATTCAAACACACAAGCATAATGGCTGTTACAGTAGAATAGATGAAGATTCTCAAATCTTTCATAAAACTGTGGGAAACAACATTAAGCTAAGGTGAGGAATAAAATTACATGTCCTCTGAAAGTTCTGTTACAGCTTAAGAACATGGAAAACTTTCAAATAGATATGTTACAAGTGTAAGGTTTATAAAGAACAGAACTGCCTTCTAGCACAATTCTGGTAGCTCGGAGTACATAGGAGAAATCATAGAATCACAGAATCAGAACTGTTTAGGTTAGAAAAGACCTTCAAGACCGTTGAGTCCAACTGTCAATCCAACACCACCATGCCCACTAAACCATGTCCTGAAGTGCCACGTCTACACACTTTTTGAACACCTCCAGGGATGGTGACTCCACCACTTCCCTGGGCAGCCTGTTCTAATGCTCAACAACCCTCTCAGTAAAGAAATTTTTCCTAATATCCAATCTAAACCTCCTCTGATACAACTTGAGGCCATTTCCTCTCACCCTATCACTAGTTACTTGATAAAAGAGACCAGTACCCACCTCACTACAACCCCCCTTTGGGTAGTTGTAGGGAGTGATAAGGTCTCCCCTCAGCCTCCTTTTCTCCAGGCTAAACAACCCCAGTTCCCTCAGCCGCTCCTCATAAGACTTGTTCTCTGGACCCTCCACCAGCTTCGTTGCCCTCCTTTGGACACACTCCAGCAGCCCAGTGTCTTTCTTGTAGTGAGGGGCCCAAAACTGAACACAGGACTTGAGGTGCGGCCTCACCAGTGCCGAGTACAGGGGAACAACCACCTCCCTGCTCCTGCTGGCCACACCATTTCTGATACAGGCCAGGATGCTGTTGGCCGCCTTGGCCACCTGGGCACACTGCTGGCTCATATTCAGCCAGCTGTCAACCAGCACCCCCAGGTCTTTTTCTGCCAGGCAGCTTTCCAGCCACTCTTCCCCAAGTCTGCAGCGCTGCATGGGGTTATTGTGACTCAAGGGCAGGACCCACCACTTGGCCTTGTTGAACCTCATACAACTGACCTCAGCCCATCGATTCAGCCTGTTCAGATCCCTCTGTAGAGCCTTCCTACCCTTGAGCAGATCAACACTCCCTCCCAACTTGGTGGCAAACAGGGGTTTGTATTTGCAGATGACATCACAAGCTCTTCAGGGAGTACAGAAGAGCTTTCACAGAATCCTCCACCCCTACAGCCAGGTCCAACCTCTCCAAGCACTGCTGACACTCATCTTCAACCTCCTTTATCAATCAAGACAACCCAGCACTTCTAGCTGGAGTCCATGACTGATAATCGCAAAAGGAGCTCGTTGGGCTCTCTGATCTGGGAGCTACCTCTTTGCTCTTGGCCATGCCAGCAGACAAGACTCTCACTGGTTCTCTCTAGCACCAACTCATTCCAGAGAAAGTTGTGAGATTAACCCCATACTGGTCATCCTCTGGTCATTGGCACTTCTCTAGTTCTTGGCTAAGGAGAAATCAAGATGTGTAAATAGTAAAAGGACTATCCAGATAAATCTGGTTCTTACTCCTCCATTTCTTACAACCCATAAGCATCGTGCTTGAATCTTAGAAAACAGGAGACTTCCCTAGGTCTCTGAAGCAACACAAGACATGTTCACTTGCTAATGGTTCCAGCTCCATCCATACCAAACATTCTTCTTATCTACTGCAAAGGATCATTATTCAAAAAAGCAGTTAGTAATGGTGAAAACACTTGATATACTTCACGTGAATAATATTCCCATGAAATGTTACAGTTTGAACACAAGTAAGTTACAGAATATTGAAAATTTACAGAAAAAAAAACAGAATGCACTTAATTTATTAATATTATCCCCCAAACTGTTCCTTGATTTCAGAGCTGTTCCACGCATGAGCAAATTTCTTTCATTATTTGCTTTTTGAATTCCACAGCTGTATGTGCTATACTTTTCTCATAGTAAAGGTTTCTAAAGATACAAGACTCTATTAAATAAGTTCTTTTTTCTACTCTAGCACAATTGCAGTTTTTAACCTAAATTTACACTGGAATAATATCATACTTAAAAAATACTATTTTTTAAAAGACAGTGTATCAGAACCCACATCTTCTACTCATGCTATGGAAATTTAAAGTAGTTTCTTGCTTTATTTTCCATATCCATTTTGTAACCTACACTGTTGTGCTTGCCAAAAAATGAGCAAAGAAAAATACTGTTTTGAAGGTCTTCAGTGTAAACTAAGTTACATGCTCATAGCCCGGTTATGATACTCTGATGAAAATATTTCCTTCTTGATCCACAGTTTGTTGCCTACTAATATTACTAGATACTTCAGAATTAACACTGTAATCCACCATCCAATGTTTTCTTCAGAATGTCCTCTCAAAGTTAAGAATCACATTTCTGAGATATAATTCTGCAGTTGTTTTACTTCAGTTTTCTAGTGCCCCCCCCCCCCTTTTTTAAGGTCTCTGAGACTTTAAGTAAGTCATTGAATTTACCTTATAAATTTAAATAACATTTTCCCATCAACTGCTATGTATAAACATAAAATAAAAAGTAAAACAGTCAGAAGAACTTACCCTTTTCATCATCACTGTATCTGCCAAGGTAAGGTGGAATTTCAGCCTGGTACTGTGAACCAACCATTATTTCCTGAAGATGTAACAAAAATGAAAAGAGAAAGGTATTAACTTAATATTTTGTGGAATGGAAGCATTAAAAATGCCATTAACCTGGCATTTGGCAGAGAATTCCAGAGTTAAGGTACTATTTTAGATATGTACTATAAATCTGAATGCATTTTTCTTAACAATAAAGTTCTTTTAACTTTTTTTTTTAAGACACAATCATTACCTTTCTCAAATCTTCAGATGAATTACCATTGTCTGCCTCTAGATCTTCACCATCTGATTCCTTATCTCCATCACATGTAGTGTTTGCTTCAGACACAAAGAAGTTTGGTTTTAGCTAGGAAGAATTTTCAGTTCAAACACAGAACTACAAGATAATGTTTACTTTTGAAAGGGGCACCTTGCTTTTATTCTGGGAGACACTTAAAATGAATCTGTTGATCTACATTTCTGTCAGAAGTCTGTTAATCTACATTTCTATCAAACTAATATGAAGTCAGAAGGCACTGGTACTTGTATACTGCAGAACGGAAACATTTATCATCACCTCAACTGAAACAATCTACCATATTTCTAACAGTCAAAAGGAAATGAGATCATGATTCTTCATCAATTTTCTCAAAAAAGGCTTATACCTTACAGAAAAGGTATGAGAAAACCAGAAAACTTCCAGGGCTATGACTTAGCCTCAGGTTAATCACAAAGAAAGTAAAGTTGAAGGTATGTCTTTATTACCTACTAAAACCTTTCATCAGAAGTTTTAATGGGCATTCAAAACATTCCTTTAAACAGGGCTGCCTCAGCATGGAGTAAAGATACAGGAGAGATACACAAAATGGAATAAGCAAAATACAGCAAAAGACTGCTTATTCCTTTTTTTTTTTTTAATTAGGAAGAAATACAGCAGAGCACACCAAGCAATTCAAATACAGTACTCCACATGAGAACTCGTACTTTAGAATCTGCAACACTGTGGTACTGGGTTCTGAAGTAATTCTGTTTTTATAGCTGTATAATCTCTGGCAGAATGGAATCCACAGTTCTGATATGATTAAAGCTATTTTGTATTCTCAAACTTGAGAAAAAATATGCTTATAAATAGGGTTGCAATTTCAGGTTCGCCACAACTAAACAGAATCGTCAACATCAGAGACAATATCCAAGACTCTATGGACTGAGGCTCTTCTTCTGTAGTCACTACTACAATCACCAGTATCTCTTTTTCTTGTTATTAGTAGAACGCAAGAAGCTAACCTAAATGCATGAAGTAACAATATGCCTGGATAATCATAGGCAATTATTTTTTCCAATTAAAGCAAATTTAAAATAGCCTATGTTATGTATTAGACACGTTATCTTAAAAGTTAATGTTATGTTAGTATCTGAGAAATTGACAGAGATCAGAAAAAAAGGTGAAACTTCCAACAGCACAGACAACTGACAACTCCCTCCCTGAAATGGTGGATATTCGATTTTAAAATATTCTGACAGAAAACCATGACAGCTGAAAACAAAGATCACTGTTTCTTAACCCTCAATAAGATGAGGGGCTAATTATTTTTTCTATGAAGCTGCCACACTTTCAGTGTCATATTCATTAACAGTTCACAAGCAATGTTTAAGTGCCAGCAAGTTTGTGGTTGCTTAACTGAAAAAAGGGTGTTATCATTTTTAAGGTTTTTGTATCTCTCTTTCAATACAAATGTCTTATATTTATTACACAATCAGCAGCATGCAAAGGGCTACAATTGCTGATGACTGAGGCAGCACATCCCCTTTATCATCCCACTGCTCTAGAGGAATGAAATCCCCCAGGAATAGCTTAAAATACTTGCCAAATCAAAACTGTGATAAAAATCCTCCACATTGCTCTAACTCTAGTACACCAGTGAACAAATAAGCTGCAACAGGCAATGAGGAATATCTCGTCCAGGTTGGATAACTGAACCACTGGTTCTCAGATCTTTCCCGTAATAGCTCCATGGGTAGTGAAATTTTGGTGGTCATGGGTTTATAGGCCCCATCCCATATAAAACCACTTTGGCTCACCCCATGAAGTTGAATGTGTGAAGGGAAATAATCACAAAGAAACCGCGTCCCAGTTCACATCCACAGGCTGCACGGAGAAGTCACTGGCTTAAAAGCAGCAGCAAAAATTTTAGTAGAGAAACACTAATTTAAAAGAATGGGTTACATATTCATGTAATTCACTTACATATTGAAAATGAATTAAGGGTGTTCCTCAATACCACATTAACTATTAATTATGAAGTTATTGTATTTGTAGAGAAATTAATTTTACTTGTGCTTTGAGAACAGTACCAAATATAAGTCTTTCAGGTAATCAGTAATACCAACCAAAGACAACATTCATGTACAACATCCTGCAAAGCACTGTTTCTCAATTCCCAGTAAAGTCAGCACTACCAGTTTTGATATTTTAAGCTAGGAAGCTACATATAATGCTAGGAGTTTTTGAGTACTATTAAAAAATTAGGTTTCCTACATCTTAATGGCCGAGGAAAGAAGTCAGTAGCCTCATGTGAAGTAACTGATGGTGTCAAGTCATCAGCAGAGGACTGTGTTTCTTCATCATCACCCGACAAGAGGTCTTTAGCTATTTCCTCCTGTATCATTAAAATAAAAAACATAAAACATCAGACTGACTATTAAGTATAGACTGGTGAGCATTTAGATTCAGCAAATTGTAAGTCTCATTAATTAAAAATAATTATTTTACCATAAGTAAATTTAGCAGACCATACTCCCTTAATTAAAAAGCTAGTTTGCTTCTCCTCAATCTAAGAACAAATATAACGATTCATTTCAGAGTTGAACACAGGGGTTCATTTCCCCTTTGTCTTCTATTAAAACAAATGCACAAGAAGTAACTTCTGCAAGCATCAATCTCAGATGTTCCTCCAGCTGCTTCCCATGAAAAATGCCAGTGGAAGCTTCCTCAAATCTGTAGAATTCTGTCATTCTTTGCATCACAGGTATACTGAAGTTTTAAAAGACTGCTACCCCTTAAACTCTGGGGAAAAAAAAAAAAAAACAAAGCAAAACAGCCAGGCATTTTTGTAGACTTCTGCTGAGAGGACAGTTACAGACAATAGACAACCTGTTATCTTCTCAAAATACAAAAAAATTGACATTTCTGTAGGTTAAAGAAAAAGATGTTACGAAAGAAAAAGCACACTTCCTCCACTACCAGACATGTTTGAACCCCTCTGTAGAGAGGTTAGGAAGGGAAAGAACTGTATTAGACAACAAGCCGACTACATTTTTGTAGCCTCAACACAATCGTGAATCCTAATGAGAATCAGATGTGCAGAGCCATCATTATATCCTACTTTCTGTGGACTGTACCATTACATCAAACCCCCAGAAAAAAAAAAAAAAAAAAAAAAGACATATACTTATACCTACGTACTTTATAATTCAAATTACAAGCTGCATATGCTTTACAGCCAAAAATCAGACTAAAATCTCAGAATTCAAAGTAAGCTTGCAAATCACAAAACCTGAAGTTTTAGGTTTTTACATCAGCAATGCAACACATGTAGTCACTGTACATAAAATAATCTCTCTCTCACTCCCCAAAGTTGAGATCTTTCCAAATTATATGCATTTGAAAGCAACATTCCAAGGCATTCAGGAGTGCATTTTCAAGTTATCCACAGACGTTTTGATACTTGACATGTGTGTTAGAAGTCAGAATTATTACTTCTGGACATTGCATACACTATCAAAAAATCCCACTTCTATTAAAAAAAAAAAACCAACACCTATTGAAAGTTCAATATGTGTTTTAGAATGTGTTTTAGAAGAACTGTTAACTTATTCATTTCTTATTTGTAGTAATATAGTGCCACTGAAGTTGTTATGCATTTGTAAGAGTGATAATTATAATTAGAATCAGATCCTCAATGTTGTTGAAAAAGAATGAATTCAGGGTAATATTGTATATGGAAATTAACAAAGATACATATTTTGTAACATTAAGGGATAGTGAAATATAATTTAAGGTCACCTGGATTTCTGCATTTAAACCATAATACAGGGGAAAATGGTTGTGACTTACTTTATCTAGAGTCATATCTGGAAGTTCATCTGCAAGTTCACTTGGAGAGCTATCAGCACTGGAACCCGCCATAACTGGAATCGTGGGTTCATAGCCATAGAATGCCAGTAAATCTTCCAATGGCATGTTTCCTTCCTAACACAAGAGGATTTACAAACATTTCAACGTATTGCCAAATACTTGTAAACAGTTCAGGCCTAAAAGGATAAGACATATTTTGAAGAACAAAAGTAAAAAACAAGCAAATAAAAACTTAATTGAAAGCAGGAATCTTGATTCAGGCACAGGACTGAAATAATTCATAACCATGTCTCTTGGCATATAGCGAAGTCCTATCAAGCAATTGTAGAAAATTGTTTACTGGATGAAACTAAAGAGTAAGTATTAAAAATTTGCTTCTTATCTGATTCATACTGTAGAGCATGATTTGCCTATACTTTTTCAAGACAGAAGATATCCTAGAAACACTAACAAGCCTCCTACAAGAGAGAAATGCAGAAAAACTTGAAGACTTCAGTCCTACAGTTACAGCTGCAAGTGTGCAAAACCCCACATAAGTAAATGCATATAACAACTTTTAAGCCCTCCTTTCAATCTCCTGCACAATATATTTTACAATGACTGTTGAGAAGATAATAGGAGAAAGACAGCTAATGATACAGAAAGAAAAAAATCAAGAGAAAGGCTTGATTTCTAACTCGTTTTTTCCACCAGTTTTTGATCAAGTGATTGATTTCAGTATCATCACATCTGCATCTTAATTCAATTAATAAAACAATAAACAGTGGAGATTTTTTTAGTTACCTGATTCAAGCCATCAAAATATAAAAAATATTTTCCAATATTTATACCTTTAAAAGTTATATTACCTTTAAAAATTTCTCGTTCAACTCATACACTGATTAAATTACTTGTTTTCTTTAGTCAGCTAAGGTCTTAGTCCTGCAAAGACTTTTCACAATGGGTAAATGTAAACTCACATCCAAGTCTTTCCAGGATCGGGGCCTAAAGTAATAAAGTGTTTAAGATGAGCGGCTCTCAATTCTTCCACCTTCTATTACAGAAGCAATAAGATAATTTTGCGGAGTAACTCCATTTTAACCACCAGACTTGCTGAGGTGCTTTGCTATTATAATTGCAAGTTCATAATCAGCAAAAATGTAACTGTAAAGGTAGCAGGACAAAAACAAAAATCAGGAGTATGAACACTGTTAACTCCACATTTAGAAAATTTGTTCTCACACAGACTACAAAAACACAGCCTCATATTTGATGCTAAAAATTACACTTTCCTGGAACTCTTGTTGACCAAAATCTGCAGTTATGCTGAGTGGTGTAAGTGGGTCACCCAACAATAATGAAAGCAACATCAATTTGTGGGTGTTCATCATTCAGCAAGCATTTAAAATGGGTGATGCACTGCCACAGATGAACAAGAGGTATAAATAGGAAAAACATGTAATTAAAGAGCGTAAAATGGAATAGGAAAAGCCAAGGAGCATGCTGGTCATTGTGTACACCTACCGAATGCCAAACTGATGAAACTAAGACATAGAACTACCATTTACATAGAACATGAATGTGATCCATCATGCCTAAAACAGGACTGTTTGTTTGCATATTGAAAAGCAAAACCTAACCAAGAGAATGAAATACAGCTAGCTGTCACTTAATAGTATGCAAAGTGTACAGCTTCAACTTATATCCAACTAACAAAACTTAGAAGTCATAAAAGATATTAGATGACAGGACTCTAAAACCTGCTTCAGTGATTTCTCTATCAAAGTGAAAGGACTACTAAATGAAAAATATTAATTTAACATAACACTGATCTTTCAGAAGCTAAGTTCAGGCATTTGGTGAGGACGCACTGCTATACGCTAACTAAACATGATTTTCTTTTCTTTTTTTAAACAAGCTGCAGAGGCATGTTGCAGGAAACAGCATTATACAATACAAACTGAAGAACAGGTTGAGTGTTCTTTTCACTATAAAAGTTACAACATGTACGGACATTTATGAGAGCAAGAGTCACTCTTACCTTTTCTAAATCTTCAATTTCAGAGCTGAAATTTTTGCTTTCTTCCATCATCTCCTCTTCTTCGAGAGTTCGCTCATCATCATAATCATGTACCAGCATTTCAGCAGATGGGTCAAAGTCATGATCCTCGGACGATAAAGAGCCAACTATCAAAAAAACCTAATTTGAGTAATTTTTTTTCTATACCAACATATGAAATTACATCACAGAAAAAAATATGGTTGCATGAATTCTTTTACATACAGGGCCAGAACCCTCAATGGAATAACTGGAACAAATTCCTAACTACTTGACAAATTCAGCTGTTTCAGCTGGCTTTCCCTTTTTGTATTTGTAAGTAGTAGGTGCAGTTTTGTCTCTTGCAGTACAGAGTTATTGCTAGAAGTACCTAAACTACTAAAAAAAAGTTTCAGAAAGGACAATCCCAAATTAGTATTTTACTGAATGGAAGATTGTGTAAAACATACTTGAAATCATCATTAAGGTACAAAGCACACATGTCATAAGATTTCAGATGCTGCAAGACTGTGATTCATAGACTCTGATTCTATTTATGTGATTTATATGGTAGCAAGCATAGTTTTTCACTGATAAACAGCTAACTTAGATTATTAATCAGCTTCCTAACAGCAAAATAAACAGCAAGACTTGCCTCAAATTAGTTTAGCCTCACAGATGGATCTTTTATTAAGACTAATTTAATTCTTAGCACTTAATCTATGAAGAAAGAATAAACATAGCAGAGTTTCAAGAAATATTGAAGAAAATATACCAGAAAAACCAAAATGCTTCTAATGGATCACATTAATTAACAAGCTATTGTGACAGCTCTGTGGTCCAACAGACACTTTTTCATTGCTCAAGGATACTCACAAGTCATCAAAAAAGTACTATAATTGTTTTTGTTATTATTTTAAGTTCATTTTGCCAACTCTTAGAAAGGTTATAATTAGATCCAACAGGCTTTAAAGATGCGAATATTCTGCACTGCAAAGTCAGTGTTCTACACTAAAAATCACTGAATTACAGGGTCATTTTGTTCTTTAATGTTCACTTTCTTATGGCTTTCAGGATGGAGAAAATGAACAGATTAGGCTATTTCTTTTTCACTTCTGGCTTCCCCTTCTAGTTTTTACATACTAGTGCTCTGTTGCAATCCTTGGCTTACAAGCAGCAAAGAAAAAGCTTATTAAGAATTATTTCCATGTAAGAACTTCTTCAGAAGTATTGAAGGGAATAGCTACAAATTTTCAATCCTTCTCAAAAAAATAAAACCGTACCCCTCTTTGCACTGCTTCCAGCCTTGAAACAGACCGTTGTACATACTAAGACTTTAGAGTCTTAAAGCATCAAACTAATTTTTCAGCAATTATGCTAAATATTCATTCTTTATATGCAGGCAATGTAAGTAAACTTTGTCTTTTTAGCTCACTTGAGACAACACTGTGACAGTTCATAATATCATACTGTAGAGAAACACTCAGGCCAAAAATGCTCTTTATTCACATGTTATTCATATTATGGTCTCACAGAACTTTCAGTATAGCTGATAAGGCTAATCCAATTACAATAATGACATTACGTGTTGAATTTTCCTGCTCTTGGCCATCACACCCTGATCCAGTTTTAAAGAAGTGTCAACTGCCTTAATCTAATATATATTTATATATATCTGTGTGCTCAAGATTACTGCTTCTCATCGCTGTTCTAACCCACCTTATGTTTGAGTAACTCAAATGGAAGTTCTATTCCACTCACAGACTTTAGATGAAAAAGTCCCACTTCTTTAGTAGCTCTGAAAGCTCAACATCTCATTTAAAATATTTAAAACCACATCCAAGAATAGAAGCTCAATAAATTTCGTAAGAGTAGTTAAAAAAGAAGACAAACAGCCAATGCAGAAGGCAGTTACACACAAGCAAATTCCCAAATACTTCTTCGAGAGTAGCCCTGCTGATGTCAACTATGCTTGCTTGCGTAAAGTATTCCAAAGAACCTTAACAGCAGTTAAAGCCTTACAAATTACTTAGCATTATGATTTTAAGCATTTTCTCTTCTACCAAGAAGTTAAAAATTTACACAAGCCTGTAGTTATCAGCAACAAGAGAAGCAGTCTCTCTCCGGGCTACATGGCTTTACTGAGATACTGACTTAGAAGCGCTACAAAACTTTGTTTTCATTTTGGGTTCCCAGCAGCCAATTACTAACTGCAACCAGAGTTAAGGGAAGGACTCCACAGCGCACATCTCCTTCTCTTAAAAATCTGGCAGGCGGTTCATTGCGTGCACATGAATCGTTAGGAAAGCTACGAGGGGATAAATTTGGGAAGGAGCAGAAGGGAGAGAATGGCGGGCTGGCGGCAGGCCGAGTGCTGGAGGTGGGCGAGGACGAACCTGGGCTCGAACTCCCAAAGGAAGCCTGCGGGGAGGAGAGAAACCGAGGTGAGAGCGGGGTCCCTCCGACCCGGCAGCAGGCAGAGGTCTTCATTTCATGCTCTCCCCCCTCCGCCCCCGGAGCTGCGCCCTTCCCCCGCCGCTCCCCGCCGGCCTCGGCCC